AAGGTGTTCAGTGAGAACTGTGAATGCATTAAGCAGCTGGCATGTATTTCTCTTAGAAGGCATAAATGCAAATCTGTTACAGTTGCTTTCTAGAGCAAAGCAGAACTGCATTTTAGTTGGTCTGATACTGCTTCTTGATGCTAGCTGCTGGTGTGCTGCCAGCAAGTGTTTGTCCTGAATGGTGATTGCTGTTCTACATCAGAGTTGGTGGCCACAGGGCTGATCATTTCCTTCATGCCCAGTGCTAAGCAGTGTGGGGGTTTGCCCTTCAGGAATGCTTCTTCCTGTACACCTGGAAAAAGGAGGGTAAACTGCAGCTGGATAAGATGCTTCCTTTTGAGTCCTACAAAGCTGTGCTATTTAGGTAATGCTAAGTCATCCTCTGAATCTTATAGTCTGGTCTTTGAGAACAACCCGCAGCTTGGATTCCCCTGAGCAGACTTGCTATTTTGCTGGGAAAAGATGCTATTTTTAAAGGCTATTTCATGCCTTTACTTCTCTGACCATTGCTAGCAGAATGCCAGATCGCTGGTACAGAGGATTTCCGAATTTCTCTTCCAGTTCTTCTGTGTTATCTCACTTCTTAAAGCTTACTGCAAATAGTTCTGCCTGCAGCAGCAGATTACAAATACATCCATGATATGAGAGGAATGTGGTCATTTACTTATTTGTTAATAGCATCTTGCCTCCTGGATCTTAAAGTGCTTTTAAAACTTCATTCAAACTCTGAATCAATGTATTTCTTGTTGGTTTTATTCAAATGCAGGGAAAACCGAGGCTCCGTGGGTGGAATTTGGCTCTGGAAGTGCTGCAGTAGTTGGTCAGGTGGCTTTGGTCCTAGTTTATGAAAAACACAGCGCACCTGCAGATCTAGCTCATTGTTGGAAGAGACCTGGTTTCTGAGCAACACTAGAAAGTGGTGTTTAAGTGTCTAAATATGGCCCGTGCCTGAGGCAAAAAATGCTGGCTGAGGTGACATCCCCATCCTGTCATAGTGGATCCTCTGTGGGTGAGCCAAGACTGGAACCCACAGCAATGCTGGAGCCCCCTGCTGAAATCCTTCCACAAAGTGTTTCATGGGATTCCTACGAAGTATTCCCTCCTTTACCCAGGCTTGTGCTGTCTTGAAATGGTCCCTACGCTTATGCAGGGCCAGAACTTCTCAGGTCAAGGGCAGACCAAGGAGCCTAGCCATGGTTGCTTCTTAGTCTTTTAAATGCCAGATCCGTGTCTGCTGCCTGGTGTGGTTTGCCTCCAGACAGCAGCTGACAGATCACACCATCTCTGATCCACCCTGAGATTTGGGAGCTGTGGTAGGGTCCTGACTCCTACCCTGGCAAATCTGCTCCATTAATAGCTATCAAAGAGCCTGAAGTTTCCGTCCGAACTTTATCTGGCTTTGCAGTGAGCTGGAGGATTAAAGACTGTTGCAGGGGAAGGGAGGGAGCAGCCGTGGCTCACCCGGAATAGCCTGACCTATGACGGCACCTACCAGCCTGGGGAGGGGAGCTGTCCCATGAGCTCGTGGGTTATCAGCAGTGAGCACACCCAGGGATATCTGCTCCATCCCTGGTCAGTTTAAGGGGTCCTGAGGAATCTGTTAGTACAGCTTGCCTGTACGGCTCTTTGTCTAGAGAGCAGGGAGCGGGCGTGAGGGCCAGCCTTGTGGAGCCATCATTTTATGCTGCTGAAATGACTTTAGGGTTTGACCTCTATGCTGTTTGTATGGGGCAGATCTGTTTTTGAGAGACAGGGATAAGAGAAGATAATCCCTGCCTTGCTGCAGCCCAGGGCTGTTGTCTCTCTGCTGTGTCACAGCAAGTAATAAAAGGTTCAGAGTGGGCTGTATGGCTGGGACTCTCCTATAGGGCCGGCAGGTGTGGGGCACAATCCTTTATCTACCAGATGAGGGAAGAGTGTAGGAAGCCAGACCAGGTTTTTTGTGTAGGCAGCGATTCACTTGTTAGAGCCTCTCCCTTGTGACTGGTTTTGTTTCCCTTGCCTTGTTCCTCGCTGGTGTCCCCAAGTCCTGTTTCACCTGCCCCATGTTACCACTGTGGAAAAATGGAGGGTTTCTTATTACTTCTGCTTGACTCGTTCAGAGCTGCTCCTCAGTTGAGCATAGCTGCTGCAACAGGAATTTTTTCCTTAGAGACAGGCTGTGAGTTAGAGCCCCTTTCCAGTGCCCAGTGTTTTGCAGGACTTGTGCAGAGCACTTCAGCACAGTGCAACAAGATCTTTGCAGCTGGCCAGATGACTCCAGACTCAGTCTGCATGTCCCCCAAGGAGCAATGGAACTGCAAATTAACTTCTCGGGCATGTGGGAAGCAGGCGTGTGGCCGCCACAATGGATAGTCTGTGGGTGCTGCTCAGTGTTTTACCCCAGGAAGCACTGAGGCTGTTCTAAACCTTTGACCCTGGCGACATACTCCGGATTCCTCCCAGTTAAACAGTGTCCTTCCCTGCCTTCCAGGCCTGAAAGCATCTCATCTCGTGACTAGCAAGATGGATGCATTGCCCCATAAAAAGCTCCTTTATATCCCAAATAATTCAATTGATCTTCATATTGGTAAGATCATTCTACTTTGGAATTTGCAGCTTGAATACTTTGTGATGTGTGCTACTGGCATGATGGCTCTTTGGACATCTAGGGAGTCATCCAGCAAGTGGGAAGTCTGTGCTCCGTAGATCTGGTAGCCTAGGGGAGTACAGCTGAACACAGGGCATTTGAGCAGCATTGTTTCTGGAAGAGGTTCACTGTACCCCTGATGAGAAAGATAAGGCCATACTGAATCCTTTTCTTCTGCTGGCACAGCAGAGGAATGTGTAGCCTCAGGAGCAGTGTTCCCGTGGCATGTGTTCCCCTTCTCTGGAGCAGGTGAGCAAAGGAGGCACTAGTGGCTAGTGTACAGGACTCTACCTGTCCAACCCCTGTTGCTGCTTCTGCTCTCCAACAAGCTCTTATGTGGCAAGGGTTCGTAAGGAAAAAGGGAATATTCGTGCAGTCTACGTCCTGCTGCATAGACGGGCTTACCAAGCACGTTAGGTGCTTGTAGCTGCAGTGGCTGTAGCTGTCCTTGAGCTGTAGAAAGTTGTGCTTCTGAATCTGGAGGGTTTTGGTTCAGCCCTTGGGCACAGAGAGGGCAGTTTTCATCTGTATGTGTACTTTCCCCTCCTTTGAATACCTCAGCGATTCCTGGAGGTGAATAGAGGCTGTTGAACAGAGGGAGAATGAAAAATAGTGATTGCCTCCTAGACATCCAATTCTAGCCTAAATAAGGAGACTTGAGCTGGGTGCTGAATGATCGTACTGATTTATCGTGTCTAGCGTTGGAGTCAGTTCTTGTGGTCAGGAGTGAGCTGGGAATATCTGTGCTTATATGGGGGAGAGGGGAACTGAGATTAGCCGAATAGACACAACACAAATGTCCTGCACCTCAGCAGCGTAAAATTGAGTGGGCCAGTAGGTGCAGTGGCAGTTGGAGTAGGTGATCGTTGTAGGTCCCTTCCAACTGAAAACATTCTATTCTACATCCTGTTGCAGGGACCTTCTCAATGCCAGACGTGAAAGTCTGATCCCTGCCCTGCAGGGGAAAAATCTTCTTTACATTCTCTGGGAAGATCCATGAGTAGCAAAGGGAGCTGGAGGAAGCTGGTTTGGGTGGCTGTCAAGGCTACCTGGCAGTCCCCCAGAGCAGCTGGTCTGGGGACGCTTATTAGTGGCCTTCCTGATGGCAGTACCATGCACCTGCTTTTCTATCTTGACCCTCCCCTCCCCAACAGGGGCTGACATAATGGGCGAGATCTGTGGCTGCAGGACTGCTGTGCTCAGGAGAGCAAGAGAGACTTCAGCTTTCCAGTGCTTTCTGCCTCTTCAGCAGTCATGCTCTTGCCAGCCAGGGCTCTCTTGCTTTTTGAGGTGTTCCCTCAGCACCCTTTCTAGCCCGCCTCTGGCTCCCCAGAACCTCCAGTAACTGAGGACTGGGCGGGCTTTGCTGGTTTTACTGGCCCTGTGAGACAAGGCACTTTTTTTTTTTTTTTTTTTTTTTTTTTTTTTGGCATGGTCAGGTTTTACTGTTTAGTTTAGTTTAGAAACATGCTGTAATCAAGCTTAATCAGCTATAGTTTACATCCCTGTCTCCCTGCTGCTGGAGTTGCTTGGGGCACAGCAAATAATTGTTACCCTCCTCCACAGCTGTAGTTTGCCCAGCCTTCTTGTGATGGACCTACCTTACTGCCCAGAAAATGAAATGCTTTGTTTAGAGCCTGGGAGCCATCCACTTAGCTTAGTGGAGAGATCATTAAGAGAGAAGATTGATAAGGGAAGTAGTCTGATAAGGATTTTTTTTATAGGCTGTGGGGAGGTGGTGAGAGGAACAGGACTGGCTGTTGACATGCTCAGACGTGGCACTTAGACTGAGTGTCACCTAGATTCATGGCATAAGGTCCCCTGTTGCTCTCAACAGCCAGCTTCTGCTAAGCATGTGAATAGTGAGAAAAGGTGGAAAGAGGGTGGGACTTTCAATGCTCCAGCCACCTTCTCTCTCTAAGGAGGTCTCCTCACGGCTTTCTGTGTTTGAGGACAGTCCAGCTGTTCTGGGAGCAAAAAGCCCCCACTCTGTCTGGACCAGAGACTAGTGTTAAATCAGGATAAGTGTAACCACACAACACAAGGCATATTAGGGATGTGGTTTGTTTCTTGCTGGTCCAGGAGATAAACTGGGTTGCCTTGTCTGCAAAAAGCATTAGACCAGTGAAGGACAAACCTCAGTCATGCTGTTTGGTACAGCAAAGTATGAGTTCATCCTGGTTTGTCTGTAAGTCCTTTTTCAAACTATGACTGTGTGGAAAAATATTCCAGGAATTCTGAGTGCAAGAATGAGGGAGACTTTTTAACTTTCCTTCTTTCAGCTTCATGAGGAAAAAACCTTGCAACTGTTTGTCTCAGCTTTGCTCTAGCTGTGTTTGAAGTCTCCTGTCTTTCTTCTCTCTTTCTGCAGGTCCTTCAGAAGCTTGGGAAAGCAGATGAAACAAAAGATGAGCAGTTCGAACAGTGTGTGCAGAACTTCAACAAACAGCTGGTAAGATAATTTGCGATATGTAATTACACCCTTACAGTATTAGCTTCCAGTCATCTGCTGCAATATGCAATTAAAGCCCGTTAAATTAAATGGTGGCATAAGCCTATTGAAATGACCCAGAACTTGTAGCTGTTCACTTACAGGGAAATTATGCTGTGTCTTCCAGTGTACCCATTGTGGAGTCAGTGAGAGGGTATGCTGAAAAATAATACTTGTTCTAGACCCAAGTTTAGGAAAAGAAATAGCTGAACAGGAACACTTCCTTCAGTTAGCAGCTGCTTTGTAATGTAATTTTTCATGCTGGGCTGGAAGCAGAGGTACAAGAGCAACGTTGTGTCTCTGAAAGATGGATAGGATGGGAAACAGATTAGAAATCAAAAATAAAATGGAACAAGGCAACGTCCATTTCCTCAGCGCAGCAGAGGGCAAAAGAGACAAAGAAAGCAAACAGTGAGAAGGGAGCATCCTTCCATAGCTGAAATCTAACTCTGTCTTCCTCCCTGTCCTTGCACAATCACTGTGTCAAGCCTGAGTCACTGTTCTTTCGCGGGTCTGTTTCGTCCCTGTATTTTAGCGGACAAAAATATTTTAACAGTGTAGCAATTTTTCCCCACCCTCCTACTTAAACAGCAGGAGGTTTATATATTGAACTGGGTGTGGATGTGTGTGT